TATTGATTATAAAGAAATATATTCAAGATAAGAATTTTTTGAAAAAAAAAAAAATTTTTGCTTATTATTAAATTGGTGTTATTGCAAATTATTTTTTTAAAACAATGCACTTTAGACACTGCTGTATGACCAATTCGATCCGTCCGACTTTTTACTGCAATATAATCAAATATAAAGTAATTTTCGTCAAAAAATTGAAAAATATTTTTTTTCAAAAGCGTTAAGGAAATTTTTATTATAATTTAGTTTTAAGGTACAAGTTCAAAATTTTAAAATATCTTGTTAAAATTATTTTTCACAGCTTTGTAAACATGTAAAACTGTAAATGGACATAAATTATCTTCAGCTGAGTCATGCTGATATTACTGAATTTTATATTTTGGTAGATTATTATTTCGAATGCGCTTAATAAAAATATGTTAAATTACAAAAATGATTATAATATGAATTAAAAAAATAACAACATAAATAATATAAGTGAAAAAAATAGGATAAATTTTGATTTAAATTACATTAGGGAAAATGAAATAAATAATGATATAAAAAAATTTTTAATGGTATAAATAAAGAATGATAATATGATTATGATAAAAATTTTGTCATTTAAAAAAAAAATTATTAATAAATATAGTATGTTGTTTTATGATAATATACAGGTGGCCCACCACTCACTGACAACTTAAATAACTTTTGATCCAGTTAATATTTTTAGCTGGTTTTTTTTTTTAATAATAGTTATACGTTAGGTCTATAGCTATATCTCAATAATTAATTTTTTTACATTTTATTAAAAATATTAATTATTTTTAAATTTTTAATAAAATGTAAAAAAAAAATCTAAGATAGCTATTTTGTAGAGTAGAATTTAAGAAAAATTTTAGTAAAAAAATATCTTATTAATATTCAATAGTAAATATTCTGTAGCGTTTTGAAGTTTGTGAAAATTTGAATTTTCATGTATTATTTTACGGTATTAAACATTGAAATACCTATTGAAAAAAGGACAGAAGAAAACGCTATCTTTTTAATATACTTTTGAATGATAGTGATAAGTAATAATTGCCTTATCTAATTTCTTATCAAGGTATTAATGCCAAGTTTGTAATGTATACACATTATCATCATATGTATACACAGTAATCATGAAAAGATAGCGTTTTCTTCTGTCCTTTTCTCAATACGTATTTCAATNTAATAAAATACAAAATTTGTAGAAGATTTAAGGGGCCTAATTTTTTTGTCCAAAAACATGCTTTACAGGAAAAACTCACACTACCCACTAAATGACCAATCTTTAATTTTTTTTTTATTGTAAAGAACAGAACTTCTTCCAGGATGTATTGGACATGGTTTTTTTAATTTTTATATATGAATGGTGTAATATGAGTTTAAATTTGATCAATTTTTATACATTTTTTTATTACTACTGTATTATTGTATTTTTAAGGAACATTGTTAGAAATCGAAGTACTGAGTGCCCTGTAAGAAGTTCTGTTTTTTACAAAAAAAAATTTTTAAGGTTGAACCACTTCTCAAGGGTTGAGAGTTTTTCCCATAAAGCATGTTTTAGGATTATACTATATGTGGCAAGCGCCTTTAAATTACTCATAGTGTGTATGCATTCTTAGATAATTGATTTAATTAAAAAATGGAACCGAAGTTTCCAAAGATTTAATCAAAAAAAGGCCAAAAATTGTCTATATTTTATTCCTTTTAAGCATTTAAAAAATTATTTTGTATTTAATTTATTTACACATTTTTAACTAAACTAGGTAATTACCCTGTAACAATCATTTTTGCAAACTGTTCATATATTTGTTTAGATCTCTGGATTGATACCGTTTTTTTTTATATTATAAAAAATTTGTAATGCTACTCTGACTATTTTTAGTTTTAGTCATATTATTTAATTCATTTGTTGTAATATTTTCCTTATTTTGGTTATCTAATATACCTATAAATAAATATATATTTAATTTAATATATCTACAATAATTAAATTGTTTTAAAGAAAAGTACCATGGTTTTTAGGATCGTCTACTAAATGTTCTTCACTATTTATAATTTTTGTTTTAGGGATGAGTGTAGTAGGATGAACAGTTTTTATGCGACGGCTCAAATTGCCAAAGGATCCACCAGTAATACTCAGTATTTTACTGCAATAAGAACATTTTGCTTTATTATTTTCAAGCTCAGTGAAGTAATTCCACATTTCACTTCTTCTCGTGGAGCCATATTTTAATATTAATGTGAAATTCTATTGTAATATTCATTTATTACTTAATTAAATTCATACATCTTATCAACGATTACCATTACATACCGACGCCGCTGAGGTGTGTAATAGTTTAATTTTGTCTACATAATCCGTACCGAATAAGCCATAAATGATCTCATACAGTTTCACATATGGATTAGCAATATACAAAACATTACTTGTCATTGTTCAATTACATATCCTAAACAAACAATGATACAATACAAATGGCTCCTCGTACCGCGTTGTAAAGGACACCTTTCTTTCAATTAAATAACTTATATTATCACAAAAAATTTTATTACTATGATTCATTATAACAGACCTAAGATCTGATCACCCCTTTGACATCCGTCAAAGAGTCACTTCTATTTTTTCTCTTCTGGTGTTCAGACATAAGTGCTCGGCTTTGCTCCTTTTTACTTTGCAGCTTTTTATCTATTTTATATTGTGACTTGGTGTCTTCATTCTTACTATAGTTCAACAGTTTAACTTAAAATGAATTCATGTTAGAATAATTATTTTAATCAATTACAATATATACTTATATAACAAACTATTTTTCTTCTTATTTAATATCTAATAAACCTAAATCACTTCTTCTCTCTACACTGTGGAATTTCATTTGCAGCCAAGATATATCAGGTAAGAGTAGTTTAAACACACTAACTACACTAATCAAGTAATAACTAGAAACAAAGTATTTTTATTTATTATGTCTTTACAGATGATTCCATTATCATTCTTCTTTATTAATACCATCCCCATCAACTTTATTTTTAGTTATTACACTATATAATTTTTTATATTTATGGAAAATAAAATTGATATTTTAAAAATAAAATGTTTTTGTTTTATTTTAATTATGTAAAATATATTATGTAATATAAACCAACAATGTTTGTACACTTTATTTCTAAAGTGAGCACTATCCAGTGTTTTTTATGCATATTATATACCTCTCATCAAAAATAGTACAAATTCCTTCTATTAAATTATTACATCACACTGAATCACACACCGTTCTATTTAAAGCTTGTTATATTTTAGCTGACTATTTTATTTCAAAGTGCAGTACATTTGATGATGCACAAATGGTTAGAGGTGGATTCTTTTTTGAAAATTTCAAACTGAAAAAATATAAAAAATAAATAATATAATAATAAGTAACATAAAAATTAACCAAACTAAATATTTTTCTGTCACAATAGCAGGTAACATCTCTACAGATGGTAATTGTCAAAGTAGCTCATTTACTAACTCCAATAAATTGGGATAATGTAGTAGTACAAGCAAAATACAAACTATACATTGCAAGAATTGGAACAGTAAATTATAATGACATTTTTATTTCACCTTCAGATACTAGATTTAAATTTACTAATTTTCATGACATAGATACCATCCTAGGGAACATAAATTGGGACCATTTTTAACCACAAGCAGAAAACTGTAATACACATGAATTTGATATTTTATATGAAGGTCCAGCAAATTTAGTATCTTCCAAAAATAATGACAATGAAGAAACTCGTACATATATATTACAATCTGATAAAATAATTTTCGCTCTAAAAAAAAAACCGGATTATTGAACGCATGTTCAATATCAACCATAGCCACACAATACCCACGATTACTTATTTTAACTGATCCATTATATTTTTCAAATTTTAAAGCCCAACCAATTTCAAACTATAACACAGATCTTATGGCATATGATCATTCAAAATGTGTGTTAATAGAAAATTTCCTTAGTTCTTCAATAACTGATATATATAGAAATCTAACAATGAAACAATATAATTTAGACGTCAAATTTGTTTACAAAAATTAGCCATTTCATCCTTTTAAAGTTTGCTTATTTTATGTCCAGTATTCAAAAGAAATAATGAACTATTTTTAAAAACAATTATTATCCCCACAAGAAGTTAACATAGCACAAAATTTATTAGCTCGTGAAACTTTAGACTATAAAATTCGAGATCAAGGTCTTTGAATCAAATATTTACAAAAGATCTATGGATGGTTTCTTTGGTTTGGAAAATGGTATAAGTGGATTCATAGGTATATTTTTCATAACCAAATTAATATTAACCTGTTAAAACACCTCTATTAATCTTTCTATTTTATATGATACATTCATGAGTTAAGCTCCTAGCAGGATTGTGTTCCAGCCTTACTCATTTTCTTATGCATAAGAAATATTCTAAAAAATTTTCTAAAACACAGAATACTGAAACAATTTCTACAGCACCTTTTCTAGATGAAAAAGAGACCATAAATAGTATTAAATTTCAAACAAATGATAAACCCCACAATGTTAATTTTTTTAATAATCCAAACTTAAATGAAATTTATCACACATTACAACATCAATCTTCCCAGCATTACAGACAGGGACGGCGCCAAAAGGGGGCGAGGGTGGGCAGTCGCCCCCTATGGACAGATTCTCGCCCTTCTCACGCCCCCTCAATCATCACAGAAATTTTGATTTGAGTTGGTGATTTATCGGTTATCGTTGTATTATATGATCCGTGTTATTGAAGAAAGTAAATAATCATATTTTATCGTTAAGCAATATAGAAATAGTTTTCATTTGTCGTAATGTCGATATCATTGAAATTCGTACGATTTAAATTCAAAAGAATTATTATTAACCACGTTCATCTAAATTGTGATAATCGTGGGTATTCTACACATCGTGTCCTCGTACAGTATGTACAGTTCACAGTTGTGTGTGTGTGTGTGTGGTAATATTGCCGTTGGTGCATATATTTATATGTATTTTTGTGTTTTATTTTTAATTTTATTATCTAAATTACGACGACAAGTGGACGATTGACGAAATGACAACTATCAGCTGAGTATTGAACTGATATTAAAAGATTATTTTTATTTATTTTCAATATTTTATAAACTACATCATTCGAATTTCGATTGTAGTTCGTAATAGGTACTGTAGGTACTTTTGCTGTTTTATCGCGTAGTACGTATACAGTTTTTGTGTTCGATCTATTATTCAATAAAATTGTTTCCTTAATACATTTTAATAAATCAACTATAAAATCCAATATACATTAAACAAAATTCCAACATGAGTACTCAAAAAATTGATTCTTACTTTGGTACTCAAACAAGTGTTTCAAACGGTCAACTAATAATAATGGATAACAAAAAAAAAAAAACCACAAATACAGTGGTTGATATTACAAATTTGACGCAATCGTGGAATGTTCAAATTAATTTAGATATCAACACAAGTAAGTATTTAACAGTACATACTTCTTATTATAAACGTACTACTTACTATAAGTATTTTATACATTTTTCATTGATTGCATTTTCATTTTAAACATTACTAGTGTGTTAAAATGTTATATTATATGCAGTAGGTTATGCAAAGTTAATTGGTGTACTATATATAAATCATTAAAAAATATTTTACCGATTAATGTAGTGTTGTGTTCGCCCATTCAAAAAAATTGTTTTGCCTTTTACCGCCCCCCAAGGAAAAAAATTCTGGCGCCGTCCCTAATTACAGAAAACTATATTAATAATTAATAAATGTTTTGGTTATTTATCTCGTACAAATATCTGTGTAATACGTTGTATAACTCATTTTCAAATCATCTAAAATACAATTAAAATATATATATTATCATATCTATACTACAATATTACTCATTTCCAAATTACCTAAAATATTAACGTAAATAATAAAATGCATGTTCCTATAAAAGAACACATATATTCAAAGAATTTTACAGTCCCAATAACCATTCATACCTGTAGGAAGATGAGATCTATACAGTTTTACAAACTATACCGCTATAACACGATACCTTACTCACAGTATATCACATTTGATTCATGAACCGTTAAATATCCAAAACACAAACGTTTATCACGTTTGTATTTAACACAATAGAAATCTTATAAAAAATATAAAACGATCATTGCCATAGAACCTAATGTCATCCCCATATTCTACAATAACATAATCTCATCCGTTATCCATGAAAACACTCAAATATTATTAACATACTTTTCAATGTTATTCAAACTCACCATCCCCACACATTTTCAATAAGTTAGATATTTTTCACACTATAATTCACTAGAAATATATAGCAAAACAATGTTTACCGGGTTAGCTAGATATAAATTCCAAATATAATACAAAACGAACATAATTTTAATGTTGAATATTCATATATAAAAACGGGAGAGCACCTTTGCCACGAACTGATGATGCTCCGACATTTACATACTTCGACATTTGACAAAGTAGTAATTGTTACGAACATCTGGTACTCCGACCATCTGATTCATAGGTTACCAAAATTATGACGGGTTTTACTCCGACATTAAATTTAAAAAATGAGATAGTAAAAACTCCGACATTATCGATAGTTTGATTATGCATCGAAAGTTATATTATATTTCGATTACATTGTTAGTAATAGGGCGCATTGATCGTATATGTTGCAACGTCAGGGTCACGTGGCTACAGAAACACTACATTATTAAATGAATTATATTATTATTAATAATATTGTAAAATTTAAATTAAAATGTTCTATTCAATTAGCATTTATTTGCTACTATAGTTATTATACAATAATATACATTTTGCTTATTATTTTCTGGTACAATTTCTCACATTTGACATATGTTATTAATACTCGAATGATAATAGTCATTCATTAAGTAACATAAAATTAATAGTGTTTAATACAAATGTACATTTTTGAAAAAGTTTTCTCTATTGTTAGAATATATATTTATCTTTGAGAATTTTATTTTTTAATTATCCAATAATTACAAAATATTTTCATCAAATCAAAAAACTGTTAGTTAACTGTTTTTTCAGTCGATCCACAAAATTTTATCTAACAGTAACTTATTTTTTAACATCTAAGAGATCCATTTGAAAACTAATTTTTCTATAACAAATATGTGCTGTAAAAATTGTCTTGTGCAATTTTATTAGTGATTAATTCCTAAGTGTGTAATATTAAAAAATAATAACTAATATAACACATAAAATTGTTTGTACAATATAAAATCATTCTTGGGGATGTCTGGATTATTTCCTGTACTGCATTAGGATATCTAAGTATAAAATAACACAGTATAACTTCAATACAGTAATTGTGGAACACATTTTTTTTAGTTTTATTACTTTCTGGAAGTTTCTTCCAATAGGTTTTTATAGACTCAGAAGAGTATGATTAATTTTTCTTTCAGCAATTTTAATTGAAAATTAATTACTAAAATTATTTTTAACTTATATTAAAAAAAATTAAAATAGTATTAAACTGTGTAAGTTTTGCTACAAGTCTAATATGAGTTATGCTAAGAATTAGTAAGTTTTGGTTATATATAAGTAGAATTAATTTTTTCTTATTTAAAAATTCTGTGTCATATAAAATTAAAAATATATTAACTCATCGTTAAAAAAATTTAATTTTGTGACATGAGTTTTATAATCAATGTTAAATTATAAGTAAAACCATTATAATCTCCAGTGGTGCTCAAAAAAAAGTTAAAAATACTAAGGAGTAAAAAATGATTTATTTAAAGTTCTTTTTGTTTAAAATCTAATATACATTTATTGAAATCAGTTTAATATTTCCTTGAAAAAAATATCTGAATAGCCTTTCCTTTTTTTAATAATAATTAAATTTGTTGGACAATTTTCTCAGTGGTCCAGTGAGAAAAAAATCTTAAATATAATGAGGGCCTTCTGAGCCAGGCCGATACTGCGAAAAGATCATTATTTTGCCAATGTTTTCATCTCGTTAGCTTAACGCGTATCCTGCAAATACAAATGTATTGTTTTATAAATACAAAATGAAGTTTTTTTAAAAATTTGAATTAATTTTATATGTACTTTTTAGAATATGAAAGCATATTCCAAAAAAAATAAAAATTAATATTCAAAATAAAATCACGTAATGTAATGTATTATGTTTTGTAAAAATGTAATTATATATATGTCCTATAAAAAAAGTTGTACAGTTTCAATATTACATTATTATATTATTTAATGAATTGACTGCATATCGAGTTAGTTAAGTTTAAAATCAATTTACTAAGCAGAAGATTTTTGTAAGTTTATGATAAATCATAAACTATTGTCCACTGTTAACTTATAACTGCCTTGTGTTTACTTAATTTGACTAGAGCGTAGGAGTATTGCAACAAAATATTTGGGAACTCTAATTACATAATTTTTTACCTAATCTAAAAAAATATTTCTATACAACAAGAAATACAAATTAATTCATTTTCGGTATAGTCTATGGCAGAATTTTAGGAGACAAAGCCCCCTCATCAAGTCTCTCCAGATTGCGGTCAAATCCAAACTGGGCTGAATTAATTTCGTTACCCACCTTTGAACAATGAAATGATATTAAATCATATTTTTGTTTGATTTCATATGAAACTAATTGTAATGACAGTTTTAGAGAATGGGATACCGAATATCTTTATAAACGCATCTGTTTAATAACGAATACTATCATCATAAAAACGTACCTCTATATTTTTTNTTCATCATAAAGACGTACCTCTATATTTTTTAACTAAACTAATTGAATGTTATAATATTAATGTGCTTACAATGTTATAATAAGCACTAATAAGGAGAGGTAAAAAAGATTTTACATCTGGAAATTGGAATCGCTCTTCTTTCCCCTCCAAAAAAAAATTTAAGGGCTCACGCCAGCTTTGTTACCTTTATGTACCTATTTTATCAAAAGTCGAATACATTTCGGGGATCTTTATTGTAATAATTATTCGTTAATAGACAGTAATCAATTATAACGCTATTTTATTATATTAATTAATATTTATTAATTAGTGATAAGGGTTATATTTTTCCATCAGATAATATATTGCTACGATATTCATCTACTCCGAAATTTGATAATTTTTTAATCGATTTC